CTCCCGCCGACCCGGGCCCTCCTCCCGCCCCAGCCCCAGTCCGCCTCCCGGGCAGCCCTCGGATCGGCCGGGCCCGCGCAGGCCCCCGCCCCGGGAGCACCATGTTCCCCCGCCCGCTGACCCCGCTAGCGGCCCCAAATGGCGCCGAGCCCCTGGGCCGGGCGCTGAGGCGGGCCCCGCTGGGTAGGGCTCGGGCCGGGCTGGGGGGGCCGCCCCTGCTGCTGCCGTCCATGCTGATGTTCGCGGTGATCGTGGCCTCCAGCGGGCTTCTGCTCATGATCGAGCGAGGCATCCTGGCCGAGATGAAGCCCCTTCCCCTGCACCCGCCCAGCCGCGTGGGCGCAGCCTGGCGCGGGACGGCCTCCAGGCCCGGGGGACTGCCGCCGAATGCGGGAGACTCGGACTTGCAAGTGCGGCAGGACGTGCGGAACCGGACCTTGCGGGCGGTGTGCAGACAGCCCGGCATGCCCCGGGACCCCTGGGACTTGCCGGCGGGGCAGCGGCGCACCCTGCTGCGCCACATCCTCGTAAGTGACCGCTACCGTTTCCTCTACTGCTACGTCCCCAAGGTGGCTTGCTCTAACTGGAAGCGGGTGCTGAAGGTGCTGGCGGGCGTGCTGGACAGCGTGGACGTCCGCCTCAAGATGGACCACCGCAGTGACCTGGTATTCCTGGCAGACCTGCGACCCGAGGAGATTCGCTACCGCCTGCAGCACTACTTCAAGTTCCTGTTTGTGCGGGACCCCTTGGAACGGCTCCTCTCTGCCTACCGCAACAAGTTTGGCGAGATCCGAGAATACCAGCAGCGCTATGGAGCTGAGATCGTGAGGCGGTACAGGGCTGGAGCTGGGCCCAACCCTGCAGGGGACGATGTCACCTTCCCGGAGTTCCTGAGATACCTGGTAGACGAGGACCCCGAGCGCATGAATGAGCACTGGATGCCTGTGTACCACCTGTGCCAGCCTTGTGCTGTGCACTACGACTTTGTGGGCTACTATGAGATGCTGGAGGCTGATGCCAACCAGGTGCTGGAGTGGGTGCGGGCACCACCCCACGTTCGATTCCCAGCTCGCCAGGCCTGGTACCGGCCGGCCAGCCCTGAAAGCCTGCACTACCACTTGTGCACTACCCCTCGGGCCTTGCTACAGGATGTGCTGCCTAAGTATATCCTGGACTTCTCCCTCTTTGCCTACCCACTGCCTAATGTCACCAGGGAGGCCTGTCACCAGTGACCATGGGTGTGGGACCAGCAGCTGTTGGGGACTGGTTTCAACAATGTCGTCTTCTTGTGTTTCTGCCTACCATTGAGAGACCCTGGCCCTGGGGCTCGAGGCTTCTCCAGATGCCTGGATGGCTGGGACTGCCCTCAGAAGCTCCTTGCCCAGGGTGGGTGACTCAGAGGACAGGGCTGGACAGGAGGCCTGCTTCATTCCATCGGCTCTTGGAAGCTGGTGTCATCCTTCTTGCCCTGGCAGGGCCAGATATCAGTTTGCCAGTGAAGGCAACACATCTGATGCAAGGGCTGGCTCCAGGGCCCTGGCTGCAGGATTGTGAAGTACGCTTGGTGCACCATCATTTAACCTGTGGCCAAACCCAGAGGTGGCACCCAGACAGGAGCAAGTATGACCAGAGCCAGGGATCCTGTGGCTCTGACTCCCCTTTTATCCGCCCCATGTGCCTAAGGACTGGAGTGAGCAGTTGTGCCTTATAAATGATTTATGTGCCTTTCTGCTCCAAACTCAGAATTTCCTACGCTTGCCAGGTTCTTTCCATTTTTCTGAGGAAAGGAAAACTGAAGCAGGGCCCCTTGCCTGGTAGCTCCAGGACCTGGCCCTGCAGGCATCCAAAGACCCCTGTGCCCAGCCACTTCCTAGGACTCTGGGAACCTCCTTCCGAACTCTTCCCTCCCTCCCCACAAGGCCTTCGAGATTGTGACTGTGGTTGTGACTGTGGCTCGTATATCAAGCTGCCACTTTTCTGTTGCATTTATTTAAAATTTGTACTTTTTCAATAGAACCTTTGTAAGGGTAAGGGCTTTGTTTTCCTAATAGCTGACTTTGAATAAAGCTGTTTTGTATATAAAGTAGCCTCTCTCTGATTCCCCCTAGAGTTCCCGTTGGCCCAGCAAATCTGTCTTCTCAGGTCAAGAAAAGCAGCTTTGCAGGTAGAGGAAGAAAGACAAGGTGTAACTTGCCTGGGCTGGTCTATCAATGAACCATTGCTATACCACAGAGCCTTTGGTGGGGGGCTTCTAATAGGCCATACCAGAATGGGCCCAGGTCCAGAGCATACCTATATTGATTATTCCTTGACAGGGG